TGCTTTTTGGAATTCGCATATTCTCCACTATTGGCAATCAAAAAAGTTTGTTCGCCCAACTTGACCTCCTGTGGGCTAACATGGGGTATGATCGCTGAACGTCAGTGTCTCACCGAAAGCCGCATTCATTCGGTTCTAGATTTCAGTAGCCATTTGTAAGGTAAAACAATAAGCTGCCGACAAAATTGACGGCGCTTAGCAGTTCACCTACCTGCATTAACTGTTGGCACAGGCAGGTTGTACAGGTCCTCACAAACATTTGTGCTGATTGTGCATGCAGTGAGCTTGACGCTGTAGGTCTGTGAAGGCGTGAGACCCTTGAGTTGGCAGGTGTGCTCACCAGCAACCACTGGCACAGTGCATGCTGCGGTGGACGAGCCATCTACCAGGATTCTGAACTCGGCATCAGCCTCTGTGTGATTGCTGGTCCAACTCACCTGAACCTTCAGTGATTCGATTGAAGGGGTTTGTAGAACGTATCCGTCTGTATTGAGCGGAAGAGAAAGCAACATAAAGCCTCCTGAGTTGGCATTTTAGCATGATGCAGGGTTGGTTGCATAGCTAACAACACTATTAAATGCTCATCATCTACATTTAGTTCATTCCTAAAAATGGCTGCCTTAAGAAGTAGAACAGAATTCGTTGATATTGAACCTAGTCCATTAGCATAAATGAATAAAGTGAAAAAAGCAAGATTTTTCGTCTGCAGTAAGGAATGTGCAAATGTTTTAAAGCATTCGGAGTAGTAATTAAGGTTTTATGAAGAATTCATGACTCGAAATGACGGCGGAAATTTTTAAAAAAAAGCCATTACCGGTGAAACAAACTGCAAAGATTTTTTTTATTTAGAGCACACAGGAAGAGTGGAATTTTGTCCTTCGTTCTGAAGCAAGACTACATAAAAATCCTGTCCGTACTTACAAATATCAATATATCAACAATAAAATTCATTCCATAATCATTTCTGACTGGTAGTTTAGACGTTTCTTTTTAAATCAAACTGCACATGTTATCCGGAAAAGTGCACTTAAATGAAACTTATAAAGTTTTCAAAAACTAGACTTGTAATGTTGGATTCGATCCAGCGGCTTATAGTAGAATTCGCGTGTTTGCGTCTGACAAAGATAAAAATATTGTTATCAGTACATAAATTAACAAATATATTCACTACTGTGCGAATTTTCAACTGTTTATTCTTTACGCCGTAACTTTTATCTAGGCATGCATCACCTCAGAAACTAGGCACAAACCAATTTATTCCCTGTATATTGAGATCCACTGACATTATTGATCACTTCTGATTGATGTTTTGTTTGGGATTGAAAACAAGCTGCAAACAAATGCAAAAGGAAGAATATTGCCAAACAGGGTTGACTTGGTCATGCGTCCAAACACAAAACTGCACTGCCCATATATAAACCGGCATCGTAGTGTGTGTCCTTGAGAACCCACCTTTTGCCACAGTTTTAAAATTGACTGGTTGAGAGCCTTCCGAACAGAAGCCGTCTGTTATACACGCGGAGACCGTGGCCGAGTAGGAAACCTCTGTGTAGAGGTTTTCCACCTGGCAGGTGTATTTGTCCTCGGCCAAGGTAGCTGCACAAGCCACTGTCTTCTCTGGAATTTCGGGATGGCCTGGTGTCATCAAAGAAACCCTGTATTCGGTGGAGTCGTCAGTGTCGCCTTTCGGTTTTGGCCATGTCAGTGTGATCGATGTTGCTGTCGCATTTGCAGCCTTAACATCGGTAGGCCTGTCCAGGGTGACTGCAGAAGAAAGACAATAAAAAGGAATGACTCTTAGTTAACAAATAAAAACAAAGGCAAAATTCATAATCCATTTTTTTTCTATCATTTCTATGTAATGTATGCTCAAAAGCAACGGGAGACCGAAGCGGCCATTTCTGTCTTGCTAGCCGTCATTAGCCGGTCATAACCAATCTCGAGGATTGAAACCCCGGACCTTTGGCCATTGAGTTTAACACCACCATTGTTCTGGCTTACTAAAGCCTGCCTAGAGACCGTGAGTGAGGGTAGACACTGCAGTTGTACGCGCGTAAAGTCTACTGTTACTAAATACTAAGTTTAGGCGGTGTTTCAGGCTGCATTTTCGAAAGCGGCTTCCGCCTAAAGCCTGCTTCGGTCATCTCAATTCCGGTCTTCGCTTGCGATGAACTCTTTGCTTTGTCTGTTGAAATCGGAAATATGATGAATATATGGGCTACGCCTATCCGCTAGAGGAAAAATTAGGTTCGCTTTGCCCTGGATCTCACAATTACAGCCCGCGCAGTCAGTCCCATAGCAACTATGAGGAAAGTGTATAAGTACTTTAAAAAACCCTTCTAAATTAGGATGGCCTAACATTTTACATTCGGGCAGGTATCATTTATGCTCAAGGGGATCAACACTTTAGCAAACAATAACGGCAACACAGAACTCAAAGATTTGATATATTACCTTTGCTGTTATGAAAATATGGGGCAAATAATTACACACGTATTAGCAGAAGCTAAAATGCGCGCCATCGAAAATAAATTAGAAGAAAAGTAAAATCTCTGGAATCCTGCTTTTATTGTCCTGACCTTTCAACGACCGCAAACGTTTCCATCGTCGGAGGTATATGTGTGAAATCGCACGCAGATTGGATAATCCCACCCCTTTCTAACAAACAGCCGGGGTAATTAGAAAGACTTTATGGAACGATGAATACATAGTCAACCGCGACAGCGGCCGCCTGAAACAAACTCAACTACATTTTTCCATTTTACACTTACTTCTACCCATTTCCTTCCCTGTCTATCCTATTTTCCCACCCCCCAAACCCCCCTATAAACTGTTTACGTAGGACAAATTGCTGTGAATAGGGACTATATACGGTGCACTACATAAACGACATCTGCCGTCACTCAGGTTATAGGTAAGCAAAGATTAATGCAATGACCGCGATTTCACTCAATTCGCTTTCATGCGACTTGGGGCTAGTCGCGTGTCTCTAATCATTGAGTGGTGTGACCAAAAATGATTGGTTGATAAAAACGATAATTTACTAGATTCCTTAAATAATGATGTTCCGGCTGTGCCCAGACGGCAATAACTACTGTGGTGACCAGCTAATCTAACCCTTTGCTCTCCATTTATCAATTTTCATTTTTTAAAGCAACCATATACGTAACTATGTAGAATACTGACATATTTGAATGCAGGTAGGACAAACATATAGCTGCATTTCAAAAATAAACCGCTATTTGCTTTTAAAGTTATTCGTATTAATTCAAATATAAATTGCTCTATCGCCACCAACTTTGACTAAATTACGTATTATGAGCATAATACTTGCATAAACTATTTTGATCATGGGTGGCGTTTTAGCCAGAACCCCATGGATTACTTGGTAAGTATCGCGATCAGAAAATGTCGCGAATTCACCAGTGATTGCGTGAAACTTAGGTTAACTCTCTGGATTTCATATAGGGGTATTCTAGACGGCTAACAAAGCAGAACTTTCAGGTTAAGCCACCAACCAAAAATGTTAATGTACGATGAAAAATATATCGCATAGTAGGGTTTTGTCTTAATAATGCAGCACTAAGCAAGTAAGTTGTATATGTGACTGAAGAGACCAATAAAATATAATTTTTAATGCGACTTTTGTCGGAATTCTGTGCGCACTTTGCTCTTTTATGCAATGCATTGCAAAATACGCAAATGAATGCTTTATTGTGTATGTGTATGTGTGTGTGTGTGTGTGTTGGCGTGCCTACATTACCCTGCATCGTATTTTTATTTAGAGTTATCGTTGCGCTTCTGTAGGCATCTGTCTGAAAGTGCATCTCTTGCTGCATACATGAGAAAGACTTACCGGGCTTTGCAGTCCAGAAGCGCTTTCCGATTTTAAGCGCCGAACAGGCGGCCAAGCCAGCGCAGGACTTGGTCACAATAGTGTACTCTGTGTCTGGTCTCAGGTTTTCCAGAGTACATTGCGTATTCCCCAAATCACCGTTATAGCACTGTTGCAGACCCAGAGAACTATCCTCGGGGTATGCGTAGACGTAGCTGTTTACCCGATGCATTTCATTATACGGTTGTGTCCAAGTGACATGCGCTGTGGTTTGGGTGATTTGCGTCACCTCGAAGTTCTCGCCAGCTACATTAAAATTGTATGCATAGTTGAGAAGAATACTTACAGCGTATAAACTCACTTAGTAACTAATATATTACCTAAATACAATAAGTCTGAAAGACAGTATTAGCTGTTAGTTTGAAGAAAGGCCAACGTGTTGATCTGTATGCCCTTTCTTAGATGGTACCACCGCGTCAATTGGGAAGTGGTCGACATGGGTACGAGCAAAGTATCGCGGACACTCATTGCAACTTTCTCAATAAAACTCAAACAGCCACCGTCTTGTCGATCTAGATGCACACGACGAAAAAAATTTGCACGGCTAAGAAACCTACGCCCAACATGATTGGTCAGATATTAGCTCACACGACTTGTGAACCGCAATGAGAATCTTTCGCTTGCCCCCTATCCTCCTGCGTCTATCGCAGCTCCACTCTTGTCCCTTACCCTCCCCCCAAGGAAGCCTGTTTGTCGGTTTTCGGTCTAAGCATTCTTCCTTGTTAATCTCATTCTTCAATGATCATTTCGCTAATAATAGTTTGGTCCTACCAGCATGAAAGGTCACGATTACAACATTCGTTTTCTGGCGTTCCTCCCTTGTTTACTATATTAGCTTGGAATTCACCCTGCCCTTATTATTTAAAGCATATATGCTCACTTGCATAATAAACAAACATACGTGGAATGGAAGCGACAAGATCCAGACAGAGCTGAATGTTCGTTTCTGTCTTATTAGCCGTCATCAGTCAGTCATGTATATACGCTCATGAGGTTAGCTGTCCCTGGCACATTTACGTAACTCGGCATCGGACGACGACAGAATATCCGCTAGTTGTCCGCGTTGTTGGTTTTCCATGATATTCTGCTGCCATAGATTATTGATCCGTAATAATAAAACTTATTTTCTACTAGCTAAGATATTAGTTTAAGGTCGGATCCTACACATCGGTCACTTAGGAAACTGCGCCAATGATAAACGTTATCCTATTCAAAAAGGTATATGTATTTTGACGTCATATTTGGTTTGAAATGGCATTCAACACGGACTTTCGTCGCGTGAGGTGAAATGTCTCAATTTCTTTCAGCACTGCAGCATTATAAAATAAATTTGAAGACAGCGTATGTAGCAGAATTTAATGGCACCATAAATTTCGCGAGCACTCATCAGCCGCTTCCACTCACCGCATAAACAGAATACTGGATGCAGAAATTGCCAGCCTCAAGGAAACTCTTCTCAAGCGTGGTT